TGGCAGCCTTGCAACTGGCACAAACTGTGTAGCCAGCCCGTGGCCCTTTAAGGGCTCCGGGGCCGGGAGGGGGGCAATAGAGTTTCCCTGGTGTTGGCCAGAGTGGCCACCAGGGAAACCTGGGAAGCCTTAGCCTCCCACTAGTTCGAATTAAGGGTCTACACAGCCCTTAATTCGAACTAGCTAGTTCGAACTAGGCTTAATCCTCGTAAAATGAGGTTTACCTAGTTCGAACTAAGCGCTCCGCTAGTTCGAATTAAATTCAAACTAATGGAGTGCTAGTGTAGCGCCTATTAAAGTTAGTTCGAACTAACGTCTGTTAGTTCGAACTAACTCTGTAGTGTAGACATACCCTAAGGTGCTACAGGTTTACTTGTTTTTACAATATATAAGGTCAAAGCTCACTCGAGGTTGGCTATATTTACAAATAATCTAGCGTAATATAAGAAATTCCAGCCCTAAGATTCTCCCCAACCTTGACTGCTTCTTTGGGTTTGTCCCTTGTTACCTGCAGTCCAGACAGTTGCTCCCATCTCTTAATTCTAGGGTAAGTTTGTGAGTATCAACTTTTGCTAGAGTCAGCATGAAAACTTCAACAATGCCTTTCAGGATTCCAACATCTGCTAACAGAGCAGGTTAATAGAAGAGCTCTGTTACCTGAAGTCTACCAGAGCTGTTACCATTGCTATTTTGTGGTTGCATGAAAAGCATGGCCTAGCCATAGACCTCTCAGTGTGGGGAGGCTGATGACTACACCTTTTTTTGGGTATGGGTGAGAATTAGGTCATCAGGACTGGTGCTAGACTTGCTGGGACCCGAAGCCCAAGCCTCATGGCTGGGGGGCCAAAGTCTAAGGGCTTCAGCACTGAATGTGGGGCTCAGGTTACAGTTCTCCCATCTGGGACTGAAGCCCTTGAGCACTGGCCCTTTTTGCCCTGGGTGGAAGGACTCTGGCTTTGGCCTTCCTGTGTGTGGTGATGGGGCTTTGGCAGGCTTAGGCTTTGGTTCCCTATCCTGTGAATAAGTATTTTGTTGTTGTTGTTATAAAGGGGTCATGGTGACATGAAATTTGAGATGCCCTGATTTAGGTGATGTACGCACATAGCAAAGTCTAACAGTTCTTCTACTATTCATTACTTGAGTTGGCGCCAATGTGAGTCACCCTCTTTGTTACTTGCTGGGTGATGTTGTGTGACAGCACCTCTGCGAAAAAATGGCTTGCAACTTGCTGCTTCCATAATCAGGGATAATGAATAAGGCTAAGATTTAGTCGTGTGTATCTTTAGTAAAAGTCATATACCGGTCATGGGTAGTAAACAAAAATTCATGGCCTGTGACCGGTCCATGACTTTTACTATATACATACCCCCTAACTAAATCTTGGTAGCTTCTGGCGCCTCAGGGCACTGCTGTGCTGGCGGCCGGGGGGGAGGAGGGGCATTAGACATCACTGTTCTGCAGGGCCCTGGAGGCCAATGTCTGGCCTGTGCACTGGCTGTGGGAGCCAAAAGCCTCCATCCACCTGCTGCTCCATAGCCCAGCTTGGGTGCTCCCCAGGGATGACCCTGGACCAATTGCTTGGGCACTCTCATGGCCTGTTGCCCCCAGACCACAGCTTGGGTGGTCCCCCAGACCAGCAGCCTGAGCAGTGGTTGGCTGCATAGTGCCCAGGCAGCTGGCCCCAGGATCAGCTGCCAAAGTAAGTAATTCCCAAACATTCATGGTGGCCAGTAGAGAGGCAATAATGTGAATGTTCCTTTGTTTTCTTGTGAAAGCTGGGAAGAGTCATTTATTTTAGTCAACGGTTTCTACTTAAATCCCTAAATAGTATATGTATATTACTTGTTTACAAAAAAGAAGGAATAGAGACAGAATGAACATCACTAGCAGCTAATGTTACATGGTTTTTATGTGAAGAGAAATGCATTTCATGCACCAGCCAGTTCAGGTTATTTAGGTGTAATGTAGGTTCTTTGAATATTAACCTAATACTTAATAAGTAACATATGATGTGATATATTAACATTTTTTTGTAATTTTGCCTTAGTAAAAAGCTTTTTAAAGTCGATTTTTGACTCCCAGGTGGAGATGAAGGTGATATTCTTTTAAGAGTATGCATGTTGCACTGTGAAAGTTATATTTAATCATAGTTCAAAAGTTTCACAGATGAGTGATCAAAAAACTGCTGTGATGATATCCTGGAAAATT